GCCACAAACACCTTCCAAACCCCACAAAACACACCACAAGCCTCACCGAACGCCTCCTTGCTACCACGATCTCGCCCACAGGAAGCCACGACTGCATGGCAGCAGGGAAAATGGCCGCGGATCCGGTTCGTAAGTAGAGGCAGAGTTCGCAAGTAGAGGTAAATTTTTGGGGCCGGAGCTGGCCGTATCTTGAAAAATTCATAAGGAGGGGCGTTCATAACTAGAGGTACCACTGTATATCCAATGTACGATAATTTGAGCCTGGTCATTTGTGCCTTGAGTGAAAACTCAGGATCGATTTGTTCTATCCATTTGTTTGCTTTCTTGACTATCTATGGTATTCTCAGAAATCTTCTCCAACATTGGAGAACATCTCTTTCTATCCTGCTCCTTCAACTTTCACTTCCACAGAGTGTCACAGGGGAACCCATTGCTTGCATGATTCTGATATTTGTAGGTATATACACCACACACCATCCCATCTGAATATCTTTTTCAAGCCCTTCACTGTTATTGTACCAAGTGCTAGTCTATCATATTTTTTATTGCTGGTTCCTTTACTGTTGATAGTCAATCCTAAAAGGCATGTGCCACCTACTGCTTCAACGTCTTCACTGTCAGTTCTAAGGCTGGCTGCTGTACCTTTTCTGTCCTTGTCCCCATGTTTTGCAACACACTTCCCCTGGAGATACATTTGGCCCTTTCTCTCCTTGCATTTTGTAAGACAGCCACCACCAAACTATCCAAATGTATATTTAGTCTGAACTGATTGTGGGTGCTCATCCTGGTTATATACATTGCTGTTATTTTCATTTTATCAGTGATGGCCTAACTCTGCTTTGTGTTTCACTGCTCAGAGTCACAACTGATGGAGGCCGCTTACAGATATTGTAGATAGGACTGTTCTTTGATTGGCTAAAACACTAAATAGCTGGCTTTTCATACAAAATAGAAATGCTTGAAATGCTATACAACCATCCCACCATTCTTGAGCTGGCACTGGCATGAAATTTGATGCTTCCACTGCTAGTCCTTATCCTGCTTCTCTTGCGTCTGATCTGCCAAATAGTGCTGCCCTGATTACATACGTGCATATGGCTTCAATTCTTCAGCGTTGCTGCCCTTCCTTTTCTGCATATCATGAGCAGGCAGGGGAAATACCCACCACTCAGGGCACTGAAGCAACAATGGATCTCACTGCAGAGTGTGTGCCCTTCCTCCTACACCCTCTTCTGTCACAGTAGACCTTGAATAAAGTGTGGAAAAAAGCCAAACAAATAGGAATCATGAAGAGAGCTGAATCACTAGGATCTGCTCTTGAAGGACAGCAGTTATGTTTTGGATTTCCCTCTTCTTCTTTCCTTTTCTTATATAGTTGACAAATGCTGGCATCCAGATTCCCTTGGGGGGCTGCTAGTCTTATGATTTCATGGTTACACTATTAAAACATTTTAGTTATGCCCAAAACAATAAGTCTAGGATGCCAATTAGAATGTTCTACCTCTCTTGGGCAAGTCTGTTGGAGTAGTGATACAATAATGGCTCAAGTTGGCATAGCTCTTTGGAGAGACAACAGCAGGATGGTGGCAGAAGTGGCTGAATGGAAGGGAGGCTGTGTGTCTACCTTGTGAGATAGTCCAGACAAGAAGCACACCCAGAAGTATTAGCTCTATTATAAGGTTACATTAAAAGAATCTTGCAAGTCTGAAAGTACATCTCTCCCCCCTCGTCTTCATAGTCCAAGAAACTAGGGAGGGTCCCTTCTGAGACATTTGCCACACCCCATTCTTTCTATGGGCTCAGCTGCCTTTTATCTGACTGTTGCCTAGTCTGAGGCTCTTCCTCCTGTCTCCCAAGGTCATTCCCACATTCCATTACACTGTGTGCCCACCTTGACCTGGAATGACCAATAACTGCCACTTGAATCCCACCCACTACTGATCCCTTGACTTCACCTGGTCATAACATAACCAGTAGTGAAATGTAACAGATTTTACACACTTTGCAACTGCTCTCAGACAGTGTCAGAATAAGGATGAAACAGTATTTTAATGTCAATACATTTAAGGATGACTTAAGCCTATCTCACTTTGGTCTGGGGAGGAGGCATTGTCATGGGAAAGTGGCAGCAAAAAAGTTTCCATGATATTTATTTGCAAATAGGGAAATGTCCCCAAACTAGCCTGTTTTAAAAAACGATAGCTGTAATTGTGTACTAACTTACAGCCATCTCTCTTTAACCTAAATCTGGCCCACGTGTGAACTTGGGGATCAAATCCATTGAAAATAGCATATCTTGTAAGCAAAATCATTGTAGACACATCTAAAGTAATGGATAAGGAGATTGTAGCATTTTGATGCAACTCCACTTTTGTCTGGAGTAATTTGCTACTGTACACCTATGTCCATCTTTGTCATTGTCCTTTTTGTGATCATTCTTGCAAATCTCTAGAGATCTCTAGAGAGCTGCCACTTAAGTCATGCCCTTCGCTGATTTGGCTCTCTTTGTGTTGTCCTTAGACCTTAGTTGTGTGTATTCAGGGTGGATGCCAGAAGTTGTCTCAGTGCTAAACCTCTGCACCTGTAGAGAAAATGCTGTGGTATGTTGGAGAAAAATATTTCCTTTGCAAATCTATGAATTCCTTCTGAGACCATGCAAATCTCACCCCACCAGATTTAGTTTAGACATGTGATAAAGCTTGGGTAGTACCGTTTCAGGCTATGGGTGGGTGGGTGAACATATGTTTGAATACTCTGCCATGTGCTTTTTGTATATTTCATGGAGTAGGCTGACTCGTCTTTCCAAATATATTTTTCTTTTGCGGGGAGTTGTTTTTTTTAATGAATGAGCTTTCAGAAATTTAACTCCCGTCTCCTACGGACACATATCCTGAAATGGTACAATCCAGAAAAACCTAGCCCTACGCCCTGATGATTGCATAAATTGGCACTTGACCTGTCATAGCAAAAGGAATGCACATATTCCATTAAACTCCTTCAGATAAGTAGTTTGTGTAATCCTATACTGATTATTTTAAAAGGTAAATCTAACACAGAAAGCAGCCTGATACTGAGTTATATGTCTGATCCATCTGACCCAGTATTATTGCCACTAAAACCATCCAGTTTATTTGAAAATAATATAAAATAAACATGCAGTTGGACGGGATATGCAGTTTTAGAAAGAGAAGCAACAGAAGTGAAGCTCTGCCATTTCTACTAACTGCTGTTTTTGTGAACTATAATAGACTCCTTCCTCTTCAAAAAGGTCTCAAGAAATAATTGTCAATGAGGGAAAAGAGAAGGACCAACCACTTTGAGTTGATAGCATCACCTAGACCTCTTTAGTCTTATCCATAGTGGTAAGAATTTCAAGAATCTAGCATTCTCTAGAAGGCTCCAGAAGGCCAAGGAACCCACAATAACCTCTGGTTGTATCACAACCATTTTGAAGAAAGTAAATCATCACATTCTTTTAGGTTCTGCTGAGGGTTGTCTTTTCAATTGTGAGCAGCCTCTTCCTATTTATGAACTATGTAATATTGAGATTATATTCTTGAAACAGAGATAAGAAATTGACTCAGTCAGTTAGTCAAGCAAACAAATAAATACATGAAAATTTGGTGCCCAAGTTTGCTTGTTTTCCTTTTCACTCTTTACTTCTTTGTTCTTTTATGTTATGTCTGGTGACAAGTGCTTATCCCAGATAACTTCTTAGAAATTAAATGATGAAGCCCAATACTTTGTTTGGAAATATATCTTCCTGTTTTGACAAAAAAATATGGTACGCTGAAATGATAAACAGGATCTTGGAAGGCTAAAAGAATTGGTAGGAAGCAGGTTCCCCGAACTATCTTCTAGTAAATGAGTGTTTTATGATTGACCATTCCCATCATGGTAACTATTTTGAGAGAAGGCCTATAACATGCTTTCAAAATTCCAAACCAGTCCCAAATCCTTTGGATTTATGTTCTATGCAGAAAAAAAATCTCTTGTTTGTAGGAGCAATATTTATTAAGGATAAATCATATAATGGATTTCTTGTGGATCAAGGGAACTCTTTATTTTGAATTGCCTGCTGGCTACCTGTAAGATACATCTAAGTTGAAATTCTGAAGAAGGTGGATTACCTCTTCAAGACAAATCCTATCATCCCTTTGCCTCAACAAAGTGTACTTCTTCTTGGGATTGTACATGGATTAGGAAAAATGGAAGGAATTTGATCTGTAAACCAGTTTTTAACAATGTGCAAACGGATCCTAAATTTATTGACTGATGATACTTGGTGTTCAGATTATTAATAGGTAAGCCTTTTTTTTAACTGGGGGACCAATAACTATGCTAATTAGTATAATTAAGCTTTTAAAAATGGAGAACAGCCTTAATTAGTACAATAAATTAGAATCTTGTAAGCAAATTATTTATAGCTTAATTTAGTGGATTGAAATTTGTATAAACTAGGAGTACCTGGTTATTTTGGGATTATACGGGTAGCTATCTAGTTATTTACAGTTATTTATATATCTCAGAGTATTGCAGAGTATATGAAAACTCTCCTGCTAGACTCAGTTTACGGATACTATGACATTTTCATTTAGGCTTTGGATATGTGTTCTCCCCAAAATACTATTAGAATGTAAAAGATATCTATAAAAGTATCCTCTAAGAGGATGTTTTCTCATATGTACACCTGCATATCTTGGCTTAAGCAAAACATAAGGCCTAGTAAAACTTTCTTTTGAATATTTGCTGTGTCAGTAACCCTGTGTGGCTTTTGTGGCAAACAACCTTTGCATGATTTCCACCAAATAGAGGGAACACTTTTTATCACAATCAGCATTTTCCAGATCATTAGAACATCCAAGAGTATTCTGCCTTCAGCAGATAAAAAACTGCCATGACTTGTAGTGAATAAGGAGGATGGCCTTGAAGGACAAGGGAAGATGTGCTACCAAGACAACAATCAGATAAATGAGACTTGAGCCCAGGCTAGAAAGTGGTTTACGAAAATACTTCAAACAGCCCCCCTCATGAAGCATACCTTCTCAAGAAGGTAGAAATGGGAAGAAGGGAAGCACATTCTGACTTG